AACAGCCAGGGTCACAGTTGGAATGTTTTAGAAGAATACAGTGTATTTCTGTTGTATTCACATTTGATGTATTGTTTTGTACCAATCAGATTCAACTATGGTTATAAATGCCAATCAGTTTATAGATAAAATAAAGACTGTACATTGAAGGATTTTTAAAAATATTATTGCTTCTGCAAGTTACATAACTTACCACCTCCACGATTACAAGCTTTCACTGTCAGTCATCCATCGTGAGTGTAATCATGGGGACAGCTGCACAAATGTGACACTCGCACAGCTGATCTCTGCATAAGAAAACAATTTTATTTAGCTCGCTTTTGATATAAATCAATTTAACTTACGTGATGTTTGTGCATCACTCTGTGTATTGTTGGGTCACAAAGGGTTGCTGAACAACTTTACAAGCTCACACAACAACATTTAGTTACAATGACAAATATAAAAAACATTTATATGATTCACTACAAAACCAGCTTTTGTTTGTCATAATGCCTGTAGATTTGACCTTGATTCTTTTCTAAAGATTTTGTAATTTATGATGGACACTACTTAGTACAGTATTTTGAGCAATGGACAACATTTTGAAACAAAGAAATGTCTTGAACAGTGATTGGTTTGATAAGCAAGAGTCATTGTCTGTGCTGGACATACAGGGGTATAAATCAAATAGGGAACCAGCCTCAGCGCAGAGGTTTTATGAGGGGAGACTTCCCTTGCATCCTGCAGGGGTTAGAAGCCAACACTGTTCAAGTGTCAAAGTGCTTTTAACTAGCAGGATCACAAACAAAGAGTTATTACTTTATTGGACATCATTTAGAAATACTTTTTTGCACTCACTCTGATTTCTAGTAGGAGAGAAGAATTAACACGTAAGACTTATTCTCTTAAAATTATAATTATTAAGAAAAGTTTCATTTGAATATACTCCTGCAGGGTTGCTGCTTGATGAAAACCGCTCAGAGAATATAGCAATGGTCCATGCAATTCATTTGTTAATTATGCACCCATAAAACAATTATACACATGAACTGTTTGAACGAGGACACTTAACAGTTGGACAAGTGCATTATACTAAAATGAATGATGCCCATACAACTGTTGTCAAACTTCAGCTATTCTCACAGCCGCTAATGAATTGCTGACATTAAACGTTAACACTATTGTCAAAATGTGAAGAACGCACAATATTCATAGCTATAGTCATTCAGAAGACAAATAAGATGGTCCTGCAGATTAATCAAAACTCTGAGAAAGCCACATAAATCAATCTATTGATATTTTGTGTACATGGGAGACTGGGGGTAGTTTTCACACACTCTTTTAAATTAGAATAATATTAGGAAATTTAATTTTAAACTCCATTAGAATTAAAATATCAGTATAATTTTTGTTATAACAAAAGTGAGCACAATAAAACTAAATAGGAAACATTCAAACAAGTGTCAACAATATAATGAAGAAGGTTTTTAACTCAACTGTGTTCGTCATAAATGTCAAGTCACACTTTTATTAGGTCTGTTTGTAAGTTGTTGTGTTTATATTTAGTAATTTTATCAAATGTAGGCCTATTATATATATATATATATATATATATTTCTGTATTGTATATTGTTTGGTAGACACTGTCCCAACACAGTATCTAAAGCAAATTGCTGGCCAAAACAACATTTTGAAAGTTTTGTATGTTACATTTTCCTTTTTTTTCGTGTTTCATAATTTTCTTGGTGTTTCATAAATATGTGAACGTTTAAATGTTGCTATAATGGCCTGTTTATTAGCATTGTGGCAGCTTAGACATACAGTGTGACAACATGCCCAGCCACTGGCTCAAACTGAAAAGTGCTTTACTGTGCATTGTATAAACTTTATAAAATTGTATAAACAACGTTTAAAAATTATCCCGACTTCACATTTCAGTATTTTTACATTTCCCAAATTCAGTATTTTTCCCGCGTTACACATATTTGCACCTGCCCACCACGCTCTGAGTCCAAAGGTAAATGTATTCTCTACCTGCGCAAACTTCCTGTGAAAGCGTCAGATCCGACTTGTTTGTCTGAAACTCATGCTTATTGCGTCGCCTACCATTTATTAATACCTGCCGTGTTGTCCAGGTATTAAAACACGGTAAAAGAAATTATGAGATACTCATATTTTGGAATTTAGACGACGTGAAGACGGCTGGTGTTTTATATTTCGATCGTGTCTTTGTTTTATTACTTCCGGAATCCGCACAGGTAAGACTAGTTTCGGTCTTGAGCGCGAAACATCCAACGCGTCTCATTTCATACACGACACACTACTCTCACAATATTTGCTTTAACTTCATCTGTAAGCTACTGTTGTTGCCTTATTATCATTGAATGTGAACGAATGAAGGTTAAAAGGACAGTAAAGCGAACATTACAGCGCTTCTTTCATAACAGGTCAGCTCGAACACATTGTAGGTGGGTTTAGCAGGTTGGGTACGTTGTTAAGATAAAGGTAACTAGGCTGAGTTACACAAAGAAACACATGCGTTATTTGTATTGCTTCTTTGCCCAACATGTAATTCAAGGGCACTAGGTTGTCCATGTTACCATCAGAATCTCCTGTCAGCTGATTGATGAATGATTTATGGCTTCTTCTTTCTCGTGTGTCACATCTACCTGCAACGTGTAGGTCAGAGTCAGACCATATAGACCGATTCAGAAGGTTAGAAAAGTCAAATGTTTTATATCAGATGATATGCTGTATTAAACATAGTGTATGTTTTAAAGCATGCTGTTAAAATTAGCTTATGACTCCTATAAAAAGGTATCAATTTACCCCCCTCCAGAAGGTGGAGTCTCCTTTCAGAATAAACAACTGCAACAGACTTCCAAAAGTAAGCAAATGTGATGCATGTTGTACTTTCTTTGTCCCATTCTTCTGGTTGTTTGCTTGTGGTGTGTATTTTTTAGATGGCTTGTTTATTCTTGTAGAAGAGAAAGTGTGTTGTTCACACTTGTTCTAACATTAAATGGATCATTCATCCAGAAAATGTAAATTCTGTCGTTATTTACTTCGTGTTATTTCAGTCTTGTACAGTATGACTTTCTTCTTCTGTGGAACACAAAACAAGATGTTGACAGCGCACGGATGCGGTGAAAGTGAATGATGACTGACGCTGTCATTCCCTATCATTATGTCATCTTATTCCTTTTGTGTTCCACATAAAAAGAAAGGTTTGGAATGACATGAGGGGGAGTAAATGATGAAACGGTTTTCATTTTTGGGTGAACTGCCTCTTTAAGGCCTAAAATGTTGATTAGAGGCAGTGCAAGTATTATTGGTTAGAGTAGACAATGTTTAATCAGCCTTCTTCAGTGAAGAAAAACTCCAGGTGACTATATACAGTGGTATATTTTCATACTTTCCAAACCAAGTCATTCTGTTGGGGCTGTGCCATTGCCGTGTATTTATTGTATAAGGGTGTGTCTGAGGGAATGATTCATGGCCCTTGCCAGAATTGGGTAGGTGAGAGCATTTCAGACTGGGTGTTCACGTTTTCTTTGATTTACCATTTGTTCTGTAGGTGGTGGACAGGACAGGAATAGTGCTAATTTATGACATCAGCACCCTGGTAATCCTAACGTCTGGAAACACTGTATGGACTTTGAAACCGTCCACATTCAGTGACTGTTTAGCACACAAACAGGTGACACATTGTGTACTCGGGGAGGTATGTGGACTTAGATTTGTTAGGTTTTGTAGTGGAATTCAACTTTGAGAGGTTCACAAACTCTAAGTCATTACGGGACAGGAGAGACTGACAAGCTGCTTGTCTCCAGTGTGTAAGATACTCCCATGAGGCTATGGGGTGAGTCCATTTATCCTAGCCAGGGTCACAGCTTCAGTGGTCAAGTGCGGAAGTAATTCTTGCAAAACACATCACTGAGCCACAAGGCTGAATGTTTTAGAATGTTTATCAAGGCTGCTCTTAATTTGTGGTGTTTACTAAGGCACTTTTACCGTTTAGTGTGTATATTTACTTTCATTGAAGGGTCCCAAACCATATCTTGTGATGAAAATATTGTTATATATATTCAGTTGGTACCATTCAGTATCATAGTTGCGAGTTGCGACCTAGCCCACCCTAGAATTGTGGTGATGAATTTTACACTGGCAAGCATCAATCAGTATTTTTCTACAGTATGTAGTATTAAACATGCATGGGCTGCAATATTAAAATTCTGGCAAGTTATTTTCATGTTATGGCTGATATTACAATTCTGTACTGTTTTGTCTCCAAAACCGTAATTAAACTTAAAATCAGGCATTTTAAAAACTTTTAAAAATGTATGCATCAGAGCATGATAATGTACAGTATGAAAATGGGATATTTTGATGTTTGCAAAAGATTACATTTAACAGTGAACTAAATTACTAAATTATTTTATTAAATTTTAAAGTGTTTTAAAAGCTTAACTTTTAGTGTTGTTAGATGATGGAAATGATAACAAATGTAAAAGTAGCACAATTAAATATAAATATTTACTAGTACATACATACTAGTTTATTTATTTAAATATATATATATATATATATATATATATATACCATGAGAGAGTCTGTGGAAAAGTTTACATAAAAACAACTGTAGAAAATGTAAATATAAATAACTAAAATAACATTAAACAAATTCTGGAAAAAAAATGATATAAATAATACATCTAAAAATAGAGTACTATAGGTAGGAAAAAAGTGTAATAGAACACTAAATATTTTCCAAATAATTTTTTAGACATTTATAATATTAATTTTCCCAGTATAAACTGGGTCTTTATACATGAAATATGTAGCTGCTTTTTAAATTTTAGGATGGGGGTCCCTCGATTACATTTGATAATATTGGGGGTCTGTTGCATCTAAAATTTTGAAAACCCCGGATATATAATATCAGTTAAATATTTTATTTAGCTTTAGAATGATAAATGAATTCTACTTGACTTGCCCCTTATTTAAATGCAGTGGTAATTTCTTTGGGTTGTGAATCACTGATTTTGCGCTAATTATTGCGCTGAATGCGCTCGCTGGGTTATGTCCATTCATTTATCTGTAGAATATGAAGGAGGTCATGAGGGAGAGAAATATTTTCTGCTTAACCTTGGAAAACACACACACACATAACTCACTGAGTTACAACTGGCCAGAGGAACTAGGTTGAGCTTAGTTCTTAGAATGCTCTGCCTGTACTAGTACCACATCAGCAGTCTACACTCCCCCTCGTCCCCTGACACACACACACGCATCCAACACGCTCTCAACCCCTCCTCCTGGGTCGACACAGCCAGACTCTGAACGTTTCTCTGTTGAGCTCCCCTTTAACTGCATGTCCTTGCATACACACACTCACACGCACAAACACACTCTGTCCCTAGTTGAGATGACGGGCTCTGGTTTCAGTCAGGCTGCAGGCGGCCAGCGCAGCTGTTGGGCTTGAGTTTCTTGTTTTCATGCAGTGGCTGGCTGCTGGGAGTCTGACTGCACTGCCAGCATCTGAGGTGGGTTGGAATTAATGATTGAGATTTACTACCTCACATTCATGGCGGATGGTGTGTTTGTTTTGCTCATCCATTGAAATGCCGGTTGTTAATTGTGTCATTGCATTGTGTTATTAATTGTTTGTATTGAATGGTAGTTTTGGTGTAGTGTTATCATTATGTATTTATGGTATTCTAAAAAAATAATTTTGTAGTATCATTATGAGGGTCACTGACGTGAGTGCCCACAATAAATAAAAGGAAAAATCTAATTAAAAAAACATGCACTAAATTTAAAGTCAAATATATTATTCAAGGTTAAAAGTGTTTTTGTTATTATTATTATTAATTAAAAATAAATATTGAATTATTAATTCATATAAACTTTTTTTGAGTGTTCAAGGAGTCACACCACATGACATCGTGAATGTAGTTTATTTAAGGTTACGATACACAAGGTTTCATTGTTGATGGATTTAGTAGAGATTATGTGGTTCACAGAGGGAAGTGGCCCTTTACTGATCGGGCATGAAGTCATTAACAACAAGCTTGTAATTTCTACACTATTCATTTTGAGTTCTTGCTCTTTTTTTCTGAGCTGCTTCTTTGTTCGCCCTAGTAGGTGAATATTGACTGCTGCCCTCCTGTCATTTCACAGAGCTTAACCGTTTTAATGACTTGAACAGTGATAGTTAGCCAAACTCAGATTGCTGTTGAGGAAGGAAACTCGTGGAAAGGATACAGCTGTAGCCCTCTTCCCATATTGTTGTGGTTAAGTGGATCCATGTCATTTCCTGTCCAGTCGGCATGAGCCCAAAAAAGAATGCTTGACGTTAGCTTCAGTTTTCCTTTGTTCTTTTTTCCAACAGAAACTTGGGTGTAGATGAAGCGGCTAGTAGTTTGTTCTCTTTCTGGATTGGAAATATTTGATTGCTTCTCATCTGCTGAAGCTGATGTAGAGTTTGCAAGGTGAGAAAGTGGCATAAGCTCTCCAGCCCTGCGGGCGTCCAGCTTAACTTCTTCAGGCCATGACAGAGCCCAAGGAGTCTCCACCGGTGGGTGGCATAACGTGGGCGCGGGTGTGTAAGGAATGTGGACAGTGTCATGATGGTCGGGACAGTCACCTGTTTGAATATCAGGATGAGGTGGATGACGAGCTGGTGTGCCACATCTGCCTGCAGCCTCTGTTGCAGCCCATGGACACGCCGTGTGGCCACACGTACTGCTTCCAATGCCTCAGCAACTTTCTGCACGACCAGGACTTCTGTCCCGTCGACCGCCAGAGGCTTCAGCTGCAGCAATGCCGTGCCTCCAGCCTTCTGGTGCGCAACCTGCTGGACAAACTGGCCGTGCTGTGCCCATTCCACAGCGAGTGCCAGCAGAGCATGCAACGCTGCGAGCTGCAGCCCCATCTTCACAACAGGTTAGTGCGTGCCACAAAGGAAATGTTTACATATCACTAGAGCAACATAGCATAAAGTCAAAGAGATATAGACATAGATAATGCAGATATCATGTAGAAATGAAATTAAATCAGTTATGAGAAGTCTGTTGATAAACATGCACATGTAGCCATTAAGAGATTAAGAGAGCAGCTGAAAATTTTGTGGAATTCCACTTATCCAGGTTTCATGTGAACAGAGAGATTTGAGAGAGCTGAGCAGAATTAAAGAATAGACGAGTGGACCGTATGACCAACTGCTGAAAGAACTGGGTGACTCTATTTTACATAATGGAGTTAATTAGGAATTACATGAGTGATTACTATAGAATGCGTGCAGATAGTTCAGCTTCGTCGTCACCTCTGCCAGAAACACATGGGAGTTGACGTTTAATTTTTGCCTGTAAAGTTACAGGATTAAGGCAGTATTAAGAGTTCAACCTCGCTCACAAGAATTCACTAAATGGTTGATTCCCTGAATTCAAAAAAATACTATAAAAATACTATTTTTACGAGCAGCGTGGCAAAATACTATAGAACCACTGATCTATAATAGAGATTCATTATATATAGATCAGTGTATAGAACTTATTATAATCAGTGATGTTGTCTACACTGGATGCGGATTTCAAATGATTTTCAACGGTCCAGACAGACTGATGTGGCACGGTGCGGCGCGACATGATAACTGTCGCGTCCAGTGTAGACACGGTGTAAAGGTTGCCTGTTACATTTCAGTAAATAAAATTTCACTTACCACATAAACAGAGTAAGGAGAGATGACTGAAGACGATGGCGAATGATTTGCAGATCCTGTGCACCACTGACAAACATCTAATCTTGTAAAATGTGTGGTAAGTAACTTTACTGCTGCTCCATAGTATAAACAGACTACGTGCGATCGCAAATCTTGAAAGTGAAAGTGAAACTAAAAAGCCATCATGCATTCAAAAGCCGTTTCAATGCCAGGTATAATAGCGGCTCCCTGATGCCTGAAATATATGTAGTATAATTACCCAATGATACAACTGCGAGGGAAAATATTGAAATATATATTTTCCTCCCATCTCGTATTTATTCCCTTTAGGGGTTCCGTATACACGTCATTTTCTTTCCGAACACGGTATTGGGATGCGGCGGATTGCGGGGGGGATTGGGGGGGCGGAATCACGATGCCGGCTCAACATCGTGATGTCTATCAGCCATTGGCAATGGACGATGGCATCGTCTATCGGCCCAACCCTAACCTGTACCATCTCCATCCCTGCAATGCATCTGCCATCTTCCATCTGCATAGCTCCTCTTGTTTCTGTACTGAGAATTCACACTCCCTGAGCATGTTCATCTTTAATAGATAAATGCTATGTAGATTTGCACTGAACCGATTAAGCATTGATTTGTTTTTCGCTGCTGTTTTCTGCTGACTCCTGAATATGGCAGATCCAGAGCAGTAGTCAGCATTGGTGCATGTTTAGGATATTTTTAGTTACTGCTGCTGCCATCTGGTAATGGATGTCTTGTAGGTTAATTAAGAGCAGACCACTGAGTAATGATGCAGAAGTTCTCTCTGACTCAGTGTGCTCCAATTCTCTCTTTCTCAGATGTCCTGCATTCAGACGACTCAGGGAAGAGGCGGAGAGAAAAAAGAGACCCTCCTGGAACGAGTTAAAGGGAAGCAAATCAGATGGAGATTTAGCTGACGCCAAGTCTACCCCGATCGCACGCACAGGTCAACTCCACGGACCCTCAGAACCTGGACTGGTCAATCCAGCCTTTGAAGAGGGTGAAGATGGTATAGCAGCACTTTCTGTTTTGCTTGTACCCTATCAATCAAATATTATTACAAAACCATATGAGCATTAGCTGATCCATGTCTAAGTATTTATGATATTCCAATTTTTCTTTCTTTCTTTCTTTCTTTCTTTCTTTCTTTCTTTCAGTATTGGATATTTAATTGTTCATGCATATTTCCCCTCCCCTAGATTAGCTTTGCTGTCATCTAACACTCACTTAAACTTAATCTTTAACAGTCTGTAGCGAACACACAATAACACAATAAATAAATATCAATTTTTTTGTTTTATTTAGCATTTTATAGCATTTAAAATCACAGATTTTTGCTTTTAGTGTTTTATTTTTAATTAATTTAGGTAAAATAATTTTAATGTTGGTTATTGATTATAGCATGAAAATTATTATCATTTTATTGGTAACAGCTAAAATTTCAATATCGCTGTCTCTTTACATATATAATATTTGTATAATATCTCTTTTTCTGTACTGTACACCACCTGGTAAGGATTAGATTTAGAAAAGAATAAAGCACATTCTTGGTGTTTTTTATTTATTTATTTATTTTTAATGAAGTAACATGTTTTCGATTTGTGGTAGCTCAGGAGTTAAGGTGAGAAGAGTGTAGCACAGACAGTGAAAAGCAGAGGAAATTGATTTGCAGCCTTGTTTACTTTTGGGTAAACCAAAACAGAGGGAATCTTTCATGTGGCCCCTTTATCCTGTGAGAAGATAACCAGGATGTGTCAGGATGTTATTAATATTGCATCAAAATAAATTATGGCATTAAAACCAACGATCGTCACTGTCTGAGAACATGTATACACATAGAGATTTACATCAACTTTTTTTCTGATTAAAGCTCTAAAACACCTGGGGGGAGTTTGGATCTGTCATCTGGATTAATGGAAATGCTGTTAGTCATAAAGTCACTTAGCAACTCTCTTAATATTTCACGGGAATATTACATCATACATTTGTCTGCTTCCTTAAGTAAATGACTCATTCCAAAGCTGCCACGAACAAACTGCTTGTGTTTCTGCCATATGTTGAACTAATTAGAAGTTTTTAAGCATTTGTAAATCAGGTTCCTGATGGACTTTTGGATTCCCAGACACCCCTCTGAGGTCCAGTCTTGTGGCAGAGGCGACTGTGGTGGAGCTGTTTCGAGAGGATCCAGATGAGGATCTGGGATTGCGTATAGTAGGAGGGAAGGAAACACCCTTGGGCAACATTGTCATCCAGGAGATTGTGCGTGATTCACTGGCTGCTCGGGATGGCAAGCTAGCTCCTGGAGATCATATTCTAGAGGTGAGGCATATCTCCGCTCACCATGCCATTATGTTTGTTTTGTATTATCAATTGCTATCGATTTGAACCCATTAGATGTTTTCCACCAGTTTTATCTTTCAGAATCTGTCTTTCTATCCAGTTCTCATGTTGTCAGTGTACACACCCCAGCATCATTGTGTTTACATGGCAGTCACATCCCTGAATAAAGGTCACAAGACCTTGCTTTCCTAAATGTTGGGAAATTTCCACTGGCTAGCACATTACTGGCCATGTAAAAGTGTTAACAGTTTTCAGCTGAGTTGACAAATTCTGTCATAGGTCATGTATCAAAATAGGTTTAGTTCAATACACGTCCTATAGAACTGACCCACTTTTCACAAGTTCTAATTGGTCATGTTTAGCTGATTTACAGATTGTTTGTTTTGTTACAGAATGGAAGATAGAGAAAGGGAGTCATTCACATGTTAAATTGAATGAAAATTCAAGATTTCATTAAGACTGATTTAGACATTAAAGGGGCATTCATTAGTTCTTTAGCTAACGTTAGCTTCACTGTTCTTTGTGTACTTTAAGTACAGAGATCAGTACTTATTATTAGAGATCAGATTATTACAAAAACCCTAGTGAGTTTTAGAGTGTGGTCTGCACAATTAATTCCTTTATCCCAGCAAAATCGAAGTAACTTGGTCTCAGTCATCAAATCTGTCCACCTTGTGTATGCTGTACTGATGTTTACGCTCGTTTTTTGCCTTTGTCAATCTAGTAAAGCACGAAAATAAGTGTTTCATTGTCTAATTTTCGCTCTCCAACATTTAGTGAAACACTGCGGTTCACGTCGTTTCAACACGGCGAAATACATCATTAAAACACTTTGTATAAAAAGCTATTATGCGTACCATCTTCATCCTAAACACCGTTCAGATGACTCTTCACAAAAACACAGTGTATTTGTTTATTTGTAAAACATTTTAACTTAGCATTAAACTACAGAATTCACCTTTAAAAAGCTCAGTTACACAGTAATGCTTCTCCATTACAATTCAGTTCAGTTAAGCAAATTTGCTTTCTTGTTCCCACAATCCTGCGCTCTCCTAGGATTTCTACTCCTAGCCGTCCTGGAATGCAATGCCTTAGTAAAGCGAACTAACACGACTGGCTTCACATTTAAATTCAACCTTGAGTTTTAATGTATGCCTCCAGCTTGTCTTCTCTGAGATCATAAATATGGAAATCTGAATGAGGTCAGCCGTTAGCCCTAGGATGATCTGTATCACAAGTGGAGCTTCTTTGGCTTTTTTTAGGGAGCTAAGGCCTGTAAAGAGATCTGTGGATGGCTTAGATATCCTATTTCTTGAAACGGGATCTCTCTTTTTCCTCTTCTGGTTCAACACACCATTGATTATCACAAAGGACTGTTCCAAGCCTCTGGCAGAAAGATTCTCTCTCTCTCTCTCTCTTTTTTTTGTTTTGTTCCAGAAGCATAAATAACAGCCATGGGCGGCGCTAAGGCGGGGCTAGCAGGTGCTTCAGCACCCCCAAGAAAGTTAAAAGCACCCCCATAGCGCCCCCACAGATTTTTTCCTGGAATCAATTATATACATGCTATAGCCTATTGTATTTAATAATTAAGATGATCATAAAAAATAGAAGAAAAAAACATTTGACTCCTTATGCATGCATAACTTGTGCAATGCTATAACGACGCAGCTGTCGCACTTTTCGTAATGTCATTATAGCATTTTATTTTAAAAATGGAGCGCTTCCTTGTGCTAAGTAGGCCTGCCCCCAACTAAAGATTTTTCTAGTCAACTAGTCGCACGTTATATTAAAGGGGTCATATGATGCGATTTAAATTTTTCCTTTCTCTTTGAAGTGTTACAAGCTCTTGGTGCATAAAGAAGATCTGTAAAGTTGCAAAGACTAAAGTCTCAAATCCAAAGAGATATTCTTTATAAAAGTTAAGAGTCAACCACGCCTACCTAAAACGGCTCGTTCTAACACGCCCCCACATGTCTACGTCACTATGTGGGAAGATTTGCATAACGCCGCCCAAATGTTCACGCAAAGAAAGAAGGCGTAACTTTTATTCTGTAAAAAGCTGTAGTATTGTTGCCGCCGCCATGTCGTGAAGGCGCTGTGTTTCGTTGTGAAAGCGAAACTACTTTGTTGCTGCTCTCAAGCCCGCCTGCCTCTGGTCACTCAAACTGGCCTCCGCTCACTCAAGCCCGCCGTGTGTGACGCTGTGTTTCGTTGTGAAAGCGAAACTACTTTGTTTGGTCTTCCAAAAGAGGACACGACTAGAAATCAGTGGTTAAGTTGTATTTACAACACTGTTCCAGAACAGTTCAACCCAAATATTCCGATGTGTCCAGCGCATTTTATGGAGGACTGTTTCCTGATCCTGGTAGAGTAGACTACAATGCCAGCTGTTCTGACTCACAGACTGTAAGTAAGTTTTTTATATTTAAAGAATTTGCCACTGACGATTCAAACACAAGTTTTGAGCAGTGTAGAGTAGCGTTTACGCGCAATGCGTAAAAAGACAGTATAAGTCATTATAATCCATAATTATGTCCCCACTGGATGCAACAAATGCCTAGTTTGTAATGGGTTTTATTGGTTTTGTCTCGTC